CGCATTCAGAGAGAGGTGATACACACAAGTTAAAGCGAGAGATTCGTTTCTCTGCACTTGTAATTTTCCATGTAGCATCAGCTTGCGGAAATCAGAGCGGGTGGTATATGGGCTCGATGGGGTGTTACATCGCAGCACTGCAGTTGCAAACGTGCACGTTTTTTTGCTGCGATGAGCTGGATCGCGGTTCTGTGTGAAGCAGACAGCGCCGGGGGACGTTGGCAGCGTGTGTGTGTGCTCCTTCCAGCTGCTCCTTGGTGCAGAACGAGCGGGCAGTAGTGAGGTAGCCTCTCCTTTTGCACCGGGCCTGCGGGCGAAGGCTGCAAGGCCGCTGTGAGCGGTGGGGAGAGGCCGGTGTCACACCACGCTGTCTCCGTCACACCTCTCTCGAGCTGCGAAAAACTACACTTTCGAAGCCTCCATCCCGTGTGGTCATGAGCGGTGGGGGTTTGGCAGGAGCTGACGTTCAGATCCAGGCAGCCCTTGCGGTGCAGCAGTTCCCCGTAGCACACAGCTGTGCCCCACGTTTCTCAGGGGGGAGGTTCAGCGGTCCAAATCAATGTCTCTTAAACCCACTTGATTGTGAAGCCTGCGCTTGTGTGCCCCCAGCGCTCTGGTAGCACAACCTCTGGGGTTCAAACCGAGGTGACACTGCCAGGCGAGTCACCACCAACACTAAGGCCACTAAGTGAAGATGGAAGCACAGAAGAGCCTAGAGGCCTGGCCTGGTTAGCCGCTCTCTGCAGGCCTCTGTGGGGGCTAGTGGGGTGGTCTGGGGCAGGTGGGGGTGGTGGCTGTCAGAGAGGAGCCCAGGTTCTCAGAGGCGGGGGGGAGGCGTGGGCCCACCGGTCGGCTGCAGAGTCTCTCGCCTCCGTGTCCAGAACCGCGGGGGTGCGGAGCGCAGATGGAGAGAGCTCTCTCCCGTTGCATAACAGCGTGCGCTCTCTCTGCTCCTTCTCCACCAATCAGCTTCGTCCCGTTGTGCGAATGCACCAGCACCAGCTGCAGGAGCTCAGACTGGCTTCTGAATTTGTTTTTTTTTTTTTGTTTGGCGTTTCAGAAGTTGTTAAGTGTTAATGATGTCATGTTGGGCACATCAGATAATGTTCCAAATTTTCGCCTAGTGGTGTTAATTCACACAGAACTGTAAAATGTTTGCAGAAAGAAAAATTTGACATTACATGCTTTGACACAGCAGGAAATGACCTAGGTGGGGTGGGTGTGTCAAAACAGATGGGATTAGATGAAGCGCCTTTGACCTAAACCCCTCTAAACTACAACTGGATTCAATGCTTATTACAAGCATGGATGTTGCCTGGTAATACCACTACATTTAAAAGCAAAACCTGATCATGCCTGTTTAGACATCCCCACTTTTTGCACTTCCTGTTTTGCTAGGCTGTATGACCAGTATGAATTTTTCCTCCAAAAATCTGCACACATTGATAAAAAAACAATAGTCTCAACAGATGAGAGGTATCCTCATTAGAAATTTGTCTGAACGACTGAGTTAGCTGATGATGGAGGTGTTGCCTAGGGGGGTTACTGTAATCCCTCTGCCACACAGGTATTGGATGATGTGGGAGTGGAGTAGCTGCACTCCATCTCTGTCAGCCAGCCCCCATCCTCCTCACCTGACGGCCTCACCACCACCTTCATCAGGTGACCCCCCCCCCCCGCATCCCTGCTCCTCAATGCTCCCAGCAATGAGCCAGTATGCAAAGCGACTGTCATGTCCTTCCTAATGTAACACCTTCTGTAATTTTGGCAGGACCTGCCATTATGTCCTAAGTATCTTTCTCTCAGAGCTGCCTCCCAGCCGCACACACTGACTGTGGCGTTCTTTTTTCAGCTTGATGAGATTAAGAGCAGTGTGGGATATTTCATACAGGCGCACAGTGTGTTTGTGTTTATGCCTGCATTGTTTCCATGCGGCGGTTTCTGCGCATCTGTTGTAGCTCTGCTCCGGTCTTCCCGCCGTAGTCGACAGGCATTGTAATCGTTTCATTGTGCCATAGCGGCTTTACTCGCGTTGGTATTCAAGGACAAAACTCCCTTGTTGTGGTCAGCAGAGAATCCCAGTGTATAACAGTGTGGAATAACATTGTGTCGCGAGGCCAGAAATGTTGCTTTAAAAAAAAAACCGACATCAACAACAGAAAAAAAAGCGATGCTTCGTCGGGTTTTCCTTTACCCCCCTGTGAGCTCAGATCAAAAACGCGCTTCCAAACCACCCACACACTAAAATCACACAGGGCGCTATCTTACATGACCACATTACTCGAGAAAAAGCATCCGCCGCATTCTCAAGCTGTTTATTCACTGAAAAAAAAACACAGACCCGAGCAGTGTGGGCACCAACAGGATGATCAGCTCAACTCAGACGGGAGTACTGAGGAAATTGCGGAAATTAGTTTATGCTCCAGAACGCCGGACTGAGCGGGCGCAGCTACAGCGGCCGAGGACGCTAACGGTAATTGGTGGAGACGGTAACGGCGGTCGCTGTTGGCAACTGAAAATCGAAACTGCGGAACAGAGTTACAGGGCAGTTCAGATCAGGGCCAGTAGTTATGTAAGACCAAAAAGAGCGCAAAAAAGAGCAAGGCTCGTAACCCAAACACGCAATGGGGCAAATCGCCTGTGAAATAATTCAGCATGAGAGCAGTAAGCCTCTGTATGCCATTCCGGTTTTCAGGGAAAGGCAGAAATCCAGACAAAACCCATAGAATCGGCCAGAGGCTGGCTCAAGTCCCTTGTGAAACTGTCCACTTGTCTCCTTTATGTCTGTCGTTCTGTTATACCTGTGGAGGATCCGAGGGCCAGTGTTACCTGTTCTCTGAGAAAGAGGAGCCGTCACAGGCGTTGCATTGTGGGCCCCGGGGGTGATTCGCGGCCACTACCTCCCAGCTGTGCAGAGCCTTGAAAACGTCTCAATGGAGACATTGTACGGTGAAATCTGTGGCCGGATCCTGGGTTTTTGAGAGAGGGAAAGGCAGCCAGTGGAAAAAAAAACACACATCCAGGTACTTGTGGTGGAGGGCTGTGCCGGTTTTTCTTGTGTTTTTCTTTTTGCGAGGGTTTTTATTTTAGGAGACGGAAGTGGAGCACTACAGGGTGTTTGAGCAGGCCGCGTTCCAAAACCAAGCAGCCTGGCGATCAAAACTGCGCTCTACTTAAGAAAAAAAAAACAGTTTCTAAACAGCAGTTGCTCGAACAACACACAATGGTGGTCTCAGTGTTCAGAATGCGACAAAAAAGTCAAGGACACTTTATTTGTCAGTTGCCGTTGCCAACATCCTAAATTTGCAGTTTGCCACGTACGGATTTAGACTTTTCCTACAGGAAGGATGAGGGTAAAAAAGAACACTTTAGATGGATGGTAGGAAAGTCCATGCAGTGCATCGCAAATTTGAAGCCGGCTGGGTGGATTTGGATCCGTGTAAGTCATATAACATCTGTAACCAACCAGATTACATGACAGGGAGAAGCAGGACTGTCCTGAATATGAGTGGAGAGCTGGGCTGTGTGGGCGGGGCCCGCCGGGGCCAGGGTATTACAGCAGTTTGCGCTTGGAAAGGCTTCAAGTACAACTCTGCATCCCTGCCCACAACCCCAGCGGTGGTTGTATCATATTGTGCAGTGGCCTTTTTCCTCTGTGTGTGTGTGTGTTTGCGTGTGTGTGTGAGAGAGAGAGAGAGAGAGAGAGAGAGAGAGAGATTCACTGTAGGGGGAACTACTCCACATAAAAACAAATAATTCGATGTGCAGCACCTTAGAAATAGTCGGTATATATTTTATTACGTCTCGAATTACAGCTTACTGTCTGGAAGTGAAGCACATAAACGAAGCCCATCAAAGTGACCCCGAGACAAGCCCTGTCTGTTTTTGGAGATTTTGAGGTTTTGTGCTTTTTTTCCTGGGGTTTACAGCCAAATAAATGTTTGATAGGGCTCTGATGTCGAAACCTCCTGCCCGACACTGTATAACCGCTGAATCTGAATCAGTAACATTCATATTACATGTAATATATCCCTAGAAGACAATTATGCTATTTCATCATATTTTACCTCACATAAAGCCTCCATTCAAGCAGGAACGTGAGAAAAGGTGCGGAACCTACAGCGAATCTAGTTAGTTTTTCTGAAAGCCCGCGCCCACTTTGCGATTCGGGCTGCGAATCCGCAGTGAGAGTTCCAGCCGGCGCTCGAGCACAATGCCAAACGCTGGAGCGGGGCCGAGTCCTCCCGCGGGGAGGGCGCAAGGGGAAGGGGGTTTCCGCGCCCGCGGCCGGCGCCGTCGTCTCCGCGTCTGTGGCGTGTGCCTGGCAGGCTCGCCTCCCCACGCTCTTGCGCGAGTCCTCGGCTCACGGCGGCACGGTTATCCCCGGACGGGGACGCGGTGCGGCGGGAGGCCGATTCGGCCTCGCAGGATAGGAGCGCACACGTGAGCCGGCCGGTGCCGACGCACAGGAAGGACCCCGAAGGGCGGATTTAGGCCAGAGTGTGGAGAAAAAGGTGGAGTTGCCCACTGCCTGGATCCGCATTATTGTACAGCGGTATTTTGAAAGGAGCCCCCTTCTTTTTTCTTTTGGTACAAGTCAGATGTCAGGATGAGACTGCGGGGCAGATTCGTACAGTGGTTTTAGGAGAGATCGTACCGCTTATCATTATCCTTGCTAATCATTACCACTTGCAACAGTGGAGTTGTATGAGTGGTGTCTGAATCACAGGAAACATCTGAAGACTCTTCTGTCAGTTTTGGACAGGGCTGCTTTGCTTACCGATACACATCTGATAATTCAGTTCAGTGTACAGCCTTTCTATAGTGATTCATGCACGCACCTTTCTCAAAAGTAATGCACTATGTTACATTGTTGTCATTTAGCAGATGCTCATATCGAGAGCAACTTGTTTAGGTTACAATAGTTACATGTTCTCCATTTCTACAGCTGGATATTTACTGAGGCATTTCTAGGTTAAGTACCTTGCCCAAGGGTACAGCAGCTGTGGCCCGGTGGGGAATCGAACCAGCAACCTTTTGGTTACAAGCCTGGCTCTTAACCACTGTGCTACACTGCCACTCCTGCAAACATACCCCCTCCCTCCACCTCTACCCGCAGCTCCCCTGTTTGACCACTGCACCGCTGTGCTGGTTTGCGTTTTGTCGCAGACTGTGTGTCACACAGTCTTTTGGGCTGTACCCAGATGGTTTAAGATGGAAAATTAAGGGTACTGGCAGCGTTTGTGGGTGGTTTTAATTAGATATGAGCTGTTGTGGCGCACAAAATGTAATCCCTTCATCCCCTTCATTTAAGTATGTGTTTCTCTTTAAGAGGCAAAGCATAACGTATAATCTAATTAGTGCAGTTAAAGGTTTTAGCTATGTGCAGAAAGGAACAGTCAGAAAACTGCCTTTACACGTATTGTTGCATTGTTGGCTGAACACAGTACCACGATGCAGTAAACGGTGCTATCGTGAAAACACCAAACCATTATGTCTCATAGTCAGAATTCAATATTTCCGCACTGATTACAGCCTTTAGAAGGAAATCAATAACAGAGTTTACTCCTGTTTGTTCTGGTGTTATTTACCACGTCTGTAAGCCTTCTTGTGAAGGCATATTAACTTGCACGTCCTGTCTAATATATGTGACGAAAGTAGCACAGAAGCACAGCATACCTGAAGCAGTTCTCAAGCTTGAAGAAAATCTCACACACACTATGCGAGACCAGTGTTATGAGAGATATAGGCCAACCGTTCTGAGGGGCTTCTTTCTGACGCAGTAGGGCTGTCCAGATCTCTTAGCTCCTGTTGTGTTAGCCGTGCCGTAGACCCTGCCGCAGAGCATTGTGGGTCGGCGGGGAGAGGGGTCGGGCATCGCCGGACGCTGTTTTCAGGCAGGGCAACGGGACAGATGGCAGAGAGCGAGGGAGAAAACGGGCAGTCCTCCAGACAGCGTTTTGCTGCCTGGCAGACGACCCTGAATGTATTTTCTTGTGCCTGGCTCTGCTTTGCCACATCGGGGGCCCCGTTCGGGAGCCTGCCTCCACCCTCGGAGGGGCTGAGGCAGTGGGATCATCAGCGCCGGGGCAGGAGGTGCTGCTCGTCCAACTGGCAGGCGCCGCCCACCGCGCAACGCTGCGCTGCCCCCCCACCCCTCGTCCAACCCCCCATCCCCGTGTGGGAGCGTGCCAGCCGGCCCAAACCGACCGCCAAAAAACGCCAACCGTCGTCTCCCCCTTCGCTTGCAGCTGCCGTGACAGACTGCCCTCAGAAGATGAAGAAAGTCCCGCCGTAACTGAAGCGCAGGGTGTTATTCCTGGCCGGCTGTGCGCTGCGAGTGAGTTATCGCTCTCTGCCGCGGAGCGGGGCGGGGGTCTCACACACTCGTCAGCTCCGCAGGCTGAGAGGGGAGCCGGTTTGTGTTACCCCCACTCCGGCGTTGTTAATCACGGATTACCGCGGTGAAATAAAGCAGCCCCCTCGCGCTCCCCGTGGCCTGTCCCCCGGACCGACCCGCTGCCTCTGTCTGCGGACGCGCCGGATCGAGGTTAATGCATCATTAGGAGAAAATGGAGGAGATCAGAGGCTGCGGTAATGGGGAGAGGTCATCCAGCGCCACTTTCTGCGTTATCGCTATTATCATTATTCCTCATTAAGTCATTAAGCCAGACACTCATTATCTCGGGTGAGGTAGAAGGTGTGTCACGGATATCACAGCCCTGTGTAATCCATCGGTGCCCGGGTTTACAGTCACAGCACTCTTTTTCTGTCTCGCTGAATTTAAAAATAAATGCTTATCACTGTTTTATCAACAAGGGTTTCTCTTTTGTCCGAGAGGAGCAACGGTGTGTGGCGTTTTCTGCGGCTGGGCTTTGTTTGGCGCGACGCATCGTTCGTAGCGGTGAAACTCAGAATCAGCACCAAATGTCAGCCGAGCCCCCCAGCCCTTATTAAGACGGTGTGGCCTTTCCGCTTAGCGGCTCACTCCCGTTGTCTCCATACCACGCGGACACATGCACGCGCGGAGAGTTAAGAACAGATGGCGGCAAACGCACTGACACACACACACACACAAGCATGCATAGGTGTACGTCTCGAAGGACAGCCTCGGCAGCAGCCGACAGTCAGGACTAGATCAGACCCCTGTGCGTCTGCACCATGTATGATTTATATCCCAAAGGCAATATTATCATTACTTATTGATGCGGCAAAGGAGACTTACAGAGTTCACCCAAGAAAGACAAAAATACTCTCTACAAAAACAAGTTGCCTTGTGTTAGCAGGGTTAGATGCTAACTGAAATTCTCAGTGACTGAAACAGCTGGGCTGTTAGCTGTAACGCCCTGTATTGCCCCAGGTGACGATAACAGTCTGATCCAGACACAGGTCGGTTTGCAGCAAAGTGCTGACTCAGAGGTTCAGTCTTGGAGCCTCCGCTGGCTGTACAGTTTCAGGGCAGACGCAGGTAGCGGGGGCTGAGATTTGGTCAAATGAAGCGAGTCTGCAGACGAGGAGAGAAGGTGGGCGGCATGACCGCTGGGGGGGTCGGGTCGGTCAATTCCGCTATTAAGGGGTGGATAGAAGAGAAGGTGAATGTGGGGGCCTTGCCACAGGGGTGTGAAGAGGAGGGGCAGACAACCAGAGGAAGAATGCAGACAACAACGAAGCTGAGATACGTGGGTTTGTAGGCATGCGGATTTGTATGTGTTATTCCAATGTGTATGACTCTGTCTGTGAGGTGAGGTGAGAGGTGGAGTGCACTGGCGCAGTCTTGGATGGCCTGAGGTTTCTCGGAGGCGTTAGTTTCTGTTTTCGATGAGATGAGGCTGCCGCCCAGGTACGAGACCGCAGGGGGGCGGGCCGGGCCGGGCCGGGCGCTGGGCCGACTCTCTGGTGAGAAACGGGGGCGAATTCTTTGGAGGTCAGTAAATGTCCTAGATCTCGCCGGAGAGACTCCCCCACGCCGATATCCCTGACGAGCCCGAAAGCGAATCCCTTCTGCTTAATGTTTAATAGACAGGTCTGTTTAGAAAGGCGCAGCTCTCAGCTCTGACATTAATGGAAGGTCTTCAATTAGGGCGTCTGGCCGTGATCAGATCTTCCTCACCGTCTGGCCTGGGTCCTGGGCTGGGAGTGGAGAGATGCCGTCAGCATCCCGCAGATGCACAGTGCGGTCATTTATTTTTCATCCGTTAAGAAGGCCTGGCTTTCCAGTGCTGTTTTCACGTTATTTTACAGAGCGTTTTGTTCTGTGATATTACTGTGCATTTCAGATCCTGTAACAAAGAATCTGTTCTATGAAAACAGATGATGCAAAAAAGGTTGATGTTTTACTGTGCCGGTACTGTATAGCTACTGTATTCAGCATCTTTCCACCTTGTAGATTTATGTTTTTTATACTGTACTGTTTTTGTACTTTTCCAAAGAAAGAGCTAGTGAATCTCAGGGAGGAGAAACATTGAAGTCAAATTCACAGACATTGTGCCTGAATGTCAGCATATTGTGTTTCACTGCTTTTCTCTGAAATTAATGGCACCTGAAACAATATCAAAGAAGTTAAAAGCATCGCTAGCCCCCTCTCTCAGGGTGTGCTGAACGTTAGTGTGCGGGAGGGGTTGTCCAGGTCCTCTGTGGAGTTGAAGGCTGCCAGGATCTGTCATTAGCCTGAACGAGTTATGAGAGCTCCTGGAAAAAGCACTCTGCTCCATGTTCAGTGCTTTGTGAAAATTTGGAATGTAAAAATGTGCTAAAACAAACAGCATTGGATTGATTGATGGTAAAGCATGGGATGTGCCGCACCGCTGTGCAGCAGGGGTTCTGAGTCTCTCTTACTGCTGTGGAATGATGGGATAGGCCACCTCCACGTTTAAGGGTGAACATGAACCAACCCCCTTCCCTCCTCGGGCACTGACAGAGACTCTTCCCAGCATTCCAGAGCTGGGTTTGAGTTCTAAAGGAAGCCAGGTCTTTTCACAGGACATAAAGAGATGAAAGGGCAGCGCCGGGCAGAGCAGACAATAGGTAGTGAGGCGCGGAGGCGGGGTTTCTGTGCGGTCTGGGAGAGAGTCGTGCCCAGGAGGCAGTGTCAGCCTGGCGACGGAAAGGCTCTCTGTAGCTCGATGAAGTGTGAAGCTCACTTACTCATGCACTCACTCGCTCACACACTCACTCACTCACTCACTCACTCATCTACTGTCTGACTCACTCACTCATTCACTCATTCACTTATTCCTTCACTGACCTACTCACTCACTCAGTTTCTCACTCACTCATTCACCTACCCCTTCACTAACTCACTCCCTCACTTACTCATTCACTCACTTACTCTCTTACACACTTGTTCACTCACTCACTCACTCACTCACTCACTCAGTGGTGTTGACCAACATCAGGCTGCACAAATGGGTCTGGACCTGTTCTCTGAAATTCAAGGCCCTGTGCAATGAATCTCATTTCATCGCTCAACATTAAAGTGGAGTTTTTACACAAAAGAGCTCAGTGTGTTCAAGGGATCTTAACTGTAAAAATAACACATTAATGGATTAACCAACATGATGGCCGTTTGGCTGGGCTCTAATGCCCCTGAGGATCGTCTCCCAGGTGGTTTTTTGGAGGCCCGAGTTTGGCAGGGCCTTTTTCAGCTCACCTATCCTGGCAGGACATCAGACGTAGACTTCCAGGCACCAGCGTTGGATTTATAGCTCTGGGGATGGAGGTGCAGACGTTCAAAGTGTAGCGGCTCAGGACTGCGTCGGTTCCAGCCCTGGTCATCCAGAAAAGCACACGAAAGGAAGGAATTTCAGGGAGGGCAGAGCCAGGAGATCCAGCGGGGAGAGGGGCGGAAACGGAGCCAGCAACTCTGCCAGGGCAGGCCAGCCACATCCCTGTTACACACCAGAAAGATCTGGTTTCACTTTCCAGCTTCTCACCGTCTCCTGCCTCCTCTCTCCTCTCTGCCTCGCTGAGTTTTCTTTGATCTCCTGCCCCAGGCACAGCTGTGGACTTGAAGGCTGTCCTGGCCTCAGAGGCCGTAGTAGCCTCATGTTTGTCCTCTGGCTACGCTCTGGCCTTAGAG